ATAGAGAAAAAAGATGAGGGTCAGTATATCCACTGAATTTCTCTTCAAATTATATTTTGGTGAATTCATAGTCAAACATTTCAAAATTTTGATTCAATAGATTCATTAGTTGGAGAGACAGAAGATGTCTATAAAAAACGATAGAAGGCAGCCTATTTGAAGCGCGAAGCATTACGTACACACATGCTGCAAGAATTCAGCACATGGGCTGAGTGGCTGAGGGAGACTGTGACGATGTGGGACAGAAATTGGATCTTGCACAGGCAGATGGAGAAAAGTGAGGAGAAGACAAAGGCCACTCTGGAGCCACCTTTAGAGGCTTCACTTTGGTAATGACTTGTAATTTAGGGCATTTTTAGGAGGGTGAGGTGATTTTTATTTTTTCTTCCAAATGTGAGCCAATGCAAAGCCCCCAAAGATCCCACCGACTCTGCAGAAGCCGAGTGTGTAGAAGTAGATTGTGCATGTCAACACACTGAAATGACAAGGTACGCAGCCTGGACAGAGGGAAGAAATCCTCCTTAGGATAAACCTGGCTGGGGCACTGAGCACCAGCATGAAATGCCTTTCTTCACTTCCACTAGCAACCCTTCGCCAAAGAACATCCTTCTCTGCTATTCTAATTGAACCCAAGCATTTTAAAATGCCAGGTATCCCACTAATGAGCGATAAAATCAACTTACTAGAAAAAACCCAGCACTTTTAAATGGAGAGAAGTAGGGTGAAACAGAATACANTCCAAAGAACAGTAAAAAGCAACTGCTTTATATGAATATAGCCAGCATAATTTTAAAAATAGCAGGTGGGGAAAAACATGAATATACAGTTTACTCCCACTCTCAACAAGGTACCTTGCTTTATATACTTCTATCTGAAGGGAAACAGGAAGACACAGAAAGATAATGGATAAATTACAGATTGGTAGGGGGATATATCAACACATGAAACGGTTAGCTATTGATCCTGCTACCCTCTGTGTACGAGGGGCCACTAAAAAGTTCAGGGAAGGATTCATATCACCTTTTAATTCAAATTTTCCATGAGTTTTTTGAAGTATACTGGTATTTATCATACATGTAAGAATGTATAGCACTATTCACAAAAGAAACAATTTACTTAAGAGAAACACTACAGTTTACTTAAGAGAAATACTTAAAAGTTATACAGCACTGGCCTTCTAAGTACACTAACAAATACTGAATAACAAAGATAACCATTCTTACCAATTTGAGTTCAGTAAATGCATTCTACTAGTAAGTAATTAATTAACACTCATTAATAAATAAATCTAACATTTTTCTCTACCCTGAGCTTTCTTTAAAATCATTAACTGGAAAACATTTTAGGACTTTAGAATCATATAAAATCTCAGTTATAATTTTATGCAAATGAGTTTACATAATCAAACACATTAACCTTAAATCAGCTTAAAAATATAATTACCTTACCTGAGTAAGAAGGACAAACTGAGCAAACTGCCAGGGAAGCATGAAAAATACATTGGAAATGCAGAGTGCAATCAAGCTTCCTCTATAAAGTTTTGTTGCCCTTGAAAAGATAAAATAAATACCGGTAAGTTTAACCACAAAACAGTCTGGCATGGCTTCAAGTGTTGCAAATTAGAATCTCTAAACATGATCTGGTTATAACATAAACTGGACATAAAATGAACCAATGAGTTAGACATTAGACCTTCCGAAATTCAATTATAACAATTTTCTCC